TTTTGTCTCTTTTGGTAATTTAGCAGTTTTTTTTTTAAATCTGTCTTTGTGGCCGTTTTGTGTCTTCTTTGTTGTTGTTTGTTTCTTTGCAGTCATTTTGTGTTTCTTTATGTTAATTTGCAGGTGTTTTGCCTGTGGTTGTGGTTGTTTTATATCTGTTTGTAGTCATTTTTTGTTTCTTTGTGGCTGTTTTGTGTCTGTGGTTGTTTTGCGGCTCTTTCTCGTAATTTTAAGTCTCTGTTTCTTCTTCATAGTTGTTTTGTGTTTCTGGGGTGGTTTTGTTCATCTTTTGTAGCCATTTTGAGTCCCTTTGTGGTCATTTTTTTGTGTCTTCGTGGTCATTTAGTGTTTCTCTCAGTGTTCATTTTTGTGTTTGTGCTGGTTTTGCACGTCTTTGTAATTATTTTTGTCTCTTATGGTAGTTTTGCAGTTTTTTCTATCTGTCTTTGAGGGTGTTTGTGTCTCTTTGCTGTTTCTTTTTGGTAATTTTTGCAGCATTTTCGCCTGTCGTTGAGGTTGTTTTGCTTCTCTGCAGTGGTTTTGTGTGTATTTGTAGTCATTTTGTCTCTTTATGGTAATTTGGCAGTGTGGCCGTATAGACTGGAAAATATTACAAATATTACAGATGTAGAATATTGTTCTGCAAAGGAGGCCTTAAAAAAGAAACTTCAGCAGTAATTAAAGGTTCGTCCTGTCTGTTGATCAGTTTATTGATCAGTCAGACAGACAGACAGACAGACAGACAGTGAGGAGGCTGATAAAAGCGAAGCCTCAGAGCTCCTCTCTCACACTGGACACTAAATAACACATGAACTCTTTTCATTTGGCGGAGAGCAGCAGAAGAAGAAGAAGAAGAAGAAGAAGAAGGAAAAAAAAAAGATTATGGGCTGCTTCCTGTTACCACTGGCTTCACCATGGCAACGGTGAGCGGCGGCCTTTGTGTGTGTCGGAGCGAGGCCGGGGGATCCCGCGGCGCTTCGTTTCTCAATGACACACAACATTAATCACTTTATAGAAGTGGGTCAGATACTGCTGGAGATCCATTTAAAGTGCGGTGGCTGGGCTCAGGCTGGTGGCCGTCAGCGCGCCTGAGAACCACACACAAAACCGCCTCCTGCAGCAGGAAGCTGCCGAGTGTCGCTCACACAGCGTTTCACCAAGAAAAAACCTCAACCACAGTCGTCGCAGGCACAGAGCGAGAGCTGCTTTCTGGTTTTCTTTCCAGGAAACATCCGGAAATCCAGTAAGAGCTTATTAATGGTGGTGTTAAGTACAGTACTTAAACCTACCACAGAATGATCATAAACACACACGAAACAACCGCAAAGAGCCAAAATAATAACAGAGAGGCAAACGGGCTACAAAAGTCTGTAAAATGACCGCAATAGGATGCAAAACAACCACAAAGACACACAAAACAACTATAGTTATGCAGAACATCCACAAAGACAAGAAGAATAACAACAAAATGACCACAAAGCAAGTCAAATGGTGTTACTGTTTATAAGAAATCACAATATGTCATGGGAAGTACCACAACATGACCATAAAGATGCACAAAACAACCTCCAAGAGACAAGATAAAAATAGCAACAGAGGTAAACTGACTAATCACGTAAGTAAAGTACACTACAGACACACAAAACTATACAGTCAATATGATCACATAGAAACTAACAACCACAAAAAGACACAGAATGACCATAAAGACAGATTAACAGAAGGTAAAATTACCATCAAGAAAGACAAAATGACTACAAAGATATGCAAAATGACACAAATTACTGCAGAGACACAAAAAGACTGTAAAGACTGACCAAAAAAAAATCTAAATTACCATCAAGATTCACAAAATGACTACAGAGATATGCAAGAGTCCCACAAAGAGACAAAATGACCTCAGAAAGACCAAATACAGAGACACAAAAACATGGGGAACCACCACAAAGACACACATTATGATCACACATTGATCATCAGTGGTCAGAAAATAACATGTTGCCTGTCGGGACAATGTTGGACAGGCTGATTGCAGATTTTTGCAAAATAGGTCATCTGAGAACTTTAACGTTTTCCTTTTTTATGATATTCTAACTTCCCACTGCACTGAAGACATTTCTGAGTTCTCTCTTTTTCCATCGAGGTGCAGGACTTTATATTACAGTAAAAAATACACAGAAAGTTTGACGGGTAAAGTTGGATATTTCCCTCAGGAGCTGGTGGAGACCAAAAACGGAGCTAAAACAGCGAATATCGACTTTTTTTGCATCTAAGTCGGTGATCCTGTTTCTCCGTAGCTGCTGGGTGTCGATCTTAAAGCCGATGTCTTTGAAGCTCTGCTGAAATGTTCTAAATGTCCGTCTCTTGCAGGGCGAAACTCCCAAACAGCGAGCCGACAAGGCCGAGGACCGCGAGCTGGCCGAGTATCTGGAGAACTGCCAGCATTACCAGATGATCCAGAGGGAGGACCAGGAGACGGCGGTCTGACCTCCACCACGTCCCTCCGTTCAACCACTGCTGTCCCCATTCAACAGAAACATCTGTGTCCTCTGAAGAGACGCAGCCATTTAAAAGAGAAACGTCATTTTTTACCTCCGCACACAGCAGCGTATCACATAGTGCTTCTTCTTTGGATTATTGTGCATCTTTTTTTTTTCTTTTTTTTTTTTTTCATCCAAACTGCTTTCGGAGAAAGTCGGGCGTTTGTAGGCGGCCTGAGGAAAGCCTCTGTAACTACGCTTCTGGACACTAACACGAAGTCAAACTAGTTTTTATTTTCAGGGCCACAAAGACTGTCGGATGGACAAACTGCGCTCTGACTCCTCACTAGCCTCCCTGTGTGCGAAATGACAAAGATGTGTGTTGCAGAAAGCGAAACAGCTGCTGCGAGCGAACACTGGCGGCATTCATGCGTCTGCAGCTGAACGCTTTCGCCATATCAGATTTTAAAAAAACAGAAAAAAAAAAAACGTGTCTTCTTTCTGAGCTTCTAGTGACCTTTTGGATGTATTTGTTTACTCAACAGAAATAAGTGTTTGGATATTTAACTTTTAGGCGCGGCTGGATTTAGCTATTTATGACTGATTTGTAGAAATAAAAACACACTTTGCTTGTGATCGAGCACAGAATTTTAGATATTCCAACATATTTTTAGCAGTTTTTTCTGTCTGTTACATGACTGTAAAGCAAGCGGCTGCCAGCAGGAAGCTTCTCATCGTGATTCTCGTGTATCTACTGTGTAAATAGCTGAGACGCCTGATAGACTCCTCAGTGTTGGAAACTTTAAACAGAAGCTGAAGCCAGATTCTGCCAAAGCCTGTATGATGAATAATTAGCTCAACATAGCATCAGGAAGAGATTATATCAAGTTATAACTGTTTTGGTTTCATCATTTCTGAGTGACCTGCAATAAAAAGCATGTCAGCAACAGTTTACTGTGAGGAAAATCCAATTATTGCCAAGAAGAACGCTCATAGTTGACTCATCATTTCAGTTTTTGTCATGAAGAAAAACGGCAAACATTCACTTTTTCACCTCCTCGGTCCTGATTTTAGGTTTTTCTTGTGTTACGTGGCAGTAAAACGGTGCTGATCCCACATAAGAGGCTATTTATAGACATAAAACAGAGCTTTAGCAGGTTTTTGACGCATTTTTAGATCAAATGATGAACAATTAAAAGAGTTTAAAGTACTTAATCCATAAAAATGTCCCCTGTGACTGTTATAATGTGATATATGATATATTTAGAGTATTTAACTAGTGCTTAAATGTAAAAGCTGATTTTTTGGGGGGGACTAAAATTAAGCATTTGCTAATTTATGAATATTATTATTATTTGTATTCAATTCAATTCAGTCAACGTCATAGTAAATGGTTTGTTTTGTCCACCCAAAACCTCAGTTATTAANATGTACATGTAGTTTTCCTGTTTTAAAGGAATCAGACATTTAAAGAGCAGCATTACAAGCTAGTTTTAATCGTGCACTGAAATGAAACCAGTAGATAAAACCCATGCACATGCTGCCGGTACCAGCAGTAGTTCAACACAGTGTGCACTGAATGGACTAAAACAGGCGAAATTAACACAGAGTTTGGTGTGATGCTCCCACGCTGTGCACCCTGGGAGTTTGGTTCCACTGGTTTCCCCTCCTTTCTGAATTAATGAAACGCAGTGAATAAGCAGCCAAACCTGCATCATACTTTCGCCACAAACAGCGGCTCTGTTTCCCACCAAACTCCTATATGGGACGTGTTGAACTTCCCAGCAGCAGGTGAACATACATCCTCCATAATAAGCAGCTCTGGCGTCCTGGTAATCACTTTAGGGGTGATTGATTAGTCTGAACTTTGTGGAAAACGTTCTGTGTGCGGCTTTATTTTTACTGATATTTCAGGCAGAAAACAGGGTTTGACGTGGGAAACAGCGCTGACGAGTGAGAGTACCACGAAAGGGAAGTCGTGTTCGTGCTTTAATGCAGACTTTTACATACATTAAATCAATAGAAGCTAAAAAAGAAAAAGGAAGTTGGGTTCCATATAAGAGGTGCATGCATGTGAATCCACTGTTTTAGATAAAAGTTGGTTTATTAACCCATTTTTATAGGCTTGCTTTTATGTGATGTCGTCTGTTTCTATTTTTGTTTTATTGTTTACTTTGTTTAAACTTTTGCTTTGTTATGTTTTTCTCTGTTAGTCTTTATTTAGTTACACATTTATTTTAATTTTAAGCCTCATGTTCTCATGTTTAGAGTTTTACCCTCTTTTTATTTTTTTTTTATTTTTATTTTTTTATTCCACTTTACTTGGATTTGGCATTTTCTTATTTTATCTAGTGTTGTTGCACTCATTTATTTTGAAAATCTTTTACCATATTTGGACTGAGCGGCCTTCTGTTGTTCAGTGTTCCTCCTGAGTATCCTCCTTTTCCTTTAAAGGAAAAGGTGCTATATGATTATTATTGATATTAATGTTGATGAAATGTGTTTCTAACCTCGTTGTGTTCGTCTCCGTACCTTCAGTGCCCACGTCTCACCTGGATGTGACGGAGAAAGAGACGTAAGTTCTGTTTTTACTGTCATTTTTTTTACCGTTTAAGAGTTTATCTGCTGCCTGATGGTGACAGATCTTCATTTACATTCGTGTTGTCGTGTTTCAGAGGTGAGACGGCGCTACATAAAGCTGCCACCAGCTGCCAGAGGAGCATCTGTCACTTCCTGGTGGAGGCCGGAGCGTCGCTCATGAAGACAGACCTGCAGGTAAACCAGCTCACCTGTGGTCATATTTGCATTTCCTATCCACTGTTTATAGTCACAGAAACATGTTGCGGTCACAGAAACATGCATGTCATGGTTCCCCTTCACTAGCTAATTACCCACAATGCTTCCTGCTTGGCAACACAAAACTTGCCCGTCTTCTCTGGTACAGTCTTACTCCTGATCCAGTGTTAGACCCCCGTCACAGAGTCTCCTGCAGAGCTGAGAGAACACCTGCTCACAGTCACTGGTACCAGTTCAACAGGATGTGCCGGTTCAGTTTTCATGTCTGGAGCTGCTTCAGGCGTCATGTTATGTAAAAACTCATAAAGACACAAAGTGAGTCTTAATGGAAGCCGGGATTCCTCAAATCATTCGCATGTTTCCACGACTACGTTTATTTCAAAGACGACACGAAGAAACGTCTCGAACACAAAGTTCAGAGGAACAGTCACTCAGTACAGATTGTTCTGTGTCTTCTCAGTTAATGTTTAAGACTGTAAATGAAACCATGAACCTCTGTGTTGTTGTTTTGTGTCACTTTGTAGTTGTTATGTCACTTTTTTTGCTCGTCTAAATAATTGTTCTGAATCTCTGTAGTTGTTTTGTGCCTCTTTTTTGTCAGTTCTTGTTAATTTGTGGTCATTTTGTGTCTCTTTATTGTCGTTTTCTGTCTCTTTTGGGTTGTTTTGCAGCTCTTTGTTGTCATTTTGTGTCTCTATCTGTTACTTTTTCACTCCACAGTTGTTTTCTGTCTTTGTGGTTATTGTGGTCATCTTTTTGTAGCCATTTTGAGTCACTTTGTGTTAAGTTTTTTGTGTCTTCGTGGTCGTTTAGTGTTTCTCTTAGGGTTTATTTTTGTGTTTGTGCTGGTTTTGTTTTTCTTTCTGATTATTTTTGTCTCTTTTGGTAATTTAGCAGTTTTTTTTAATCCGTCTTTGTGACCGTTTTGTGTCTTCTTTGTTGTTGTTTGTTTCTTTGCAGTCATTTTGTGTTTCTTTATTGTAATTTGCAGGTTTTTTGCCTGTGGTTGTGGTTGTTTTCCATCTGTAGTCATTTTTTGTTTCTTTGTGGCTGTTTTGTGTCTGTGGTTGTTTTGCAGCTCTTTCTCGTAATTTTGAGTCTCTAATTGTTTGTTTTTCTTCTTCATAGTTGTTTTGTGTTTCTGGGGTGGTTTTGTTTATCTTTCTGGCCATTTTGAGTCACTTTGTGGTCATTTTTTGTGTCTTCGTGGTCATTTAGTGTTTCTCTCAGTGTTCATTTTTGTGTTTGTGCTGGTTTTGCACGTCTTTGTAATTATTTTTGTCTCTTATGGTAGTTTTGCAGTTTTTTCTATCTGTCTTTGAGGGTGTTTGTGTCTCTTTGCTGTTTCTTTTTGGTAATTTTTGCAGCATTTTCGCCTGTCGTTGAGGTTGTTTTGCTTCTCTGCAGTGGTTTTGTGTGTATTTGTAGTCATTTTGTCTCTTTATGGTAATTTGGCAGTGTGGCCGTATAGACTGGAAAATATTACAAATATTACAGATGTAGAATATTGTTCTGCAAAGGAGGCCTTAAAAAAGAAACTTCAGCAGTAATTAAAGGTTCGTCCTGTCTGTTGATCAGTTTATTGATCAGTCAGACAGACAGACAGACAGACAGACAGTGAGGAGGCTGATAAAAGCGAAGCCTCAGAGCTCCTCTCTCACACTGGACACTAAATAACACATGAACTCTTTTCATTTGGCGGAGAGCAGCAGAAGAAGAAGAAGAAGAAGAAGAAGAAGGAAAAAAAAAAGATTATGGGCTGCTTCCTGTTACCACTGGCTTCACCATGGCAACGGTGAGCGGCGGCCTTTGTGTGTGTCGGAGCGAGGCCGGGGGATCCCGCGGCGCTTCGTTTCTCAATGACACACAACATTAATCACTTTATAGAAGTGGGTCAGATACTGCTGGAGATCCATTTAAAGTGCGGTGGCTGGGCTCAGGCTGGTGGCCGTCAGCGCGCCTGAGAACCACACACAAAACCGCCTCCTGCAGCAGGAAGCTGCCGAGTGTCGCTCACACAGCGTTTCACCAAGAAAAAACCTCAACCACAGTCGTCGCAGGCACAGAGCGAGAGCTGCTTTCTGGTTTTCTTTCCAGGAAACATCCGGAAATCCAGTAAGAGCTTATTAATGGTGGTGTTAAGTACAGTACTTAAACCTACCACAGAATGATCATAAACACACACGAAACAACCGCAAAGAGCCAAAATAATAACAGAGAGGCAAACGGGCTACAAAAGTCTGTAAAATGACCACGACGGGACGTAAAACAATCACAAAGACACACAAAACAACTATAGTTATGCAGAACATCCACAAAGACAAGAAGAATAACAACAAAATGAACACCAAGCAAGTCAAATGGTGTTACTATTTATAAGAAATCACAATATGTCACAGGAAGTACCACAACATGACCATAAAGATGCACAAAACAACCTCCAAGAGACAAGATAAAAATAGCAACAGAGGTAAACTGACTAATCACGTAAGTAAAGTACACTACAGACACACAAAACTATACAGTCAATATGATCACATAGAAACTAACAACCACAAAAAGACACAGAATGACCATAAAGACAGATTAACAGAAGGTAAAATTACCATCAAGAAAGACAAAATGACTACAAAGATATGCAAAATGACACAAATTACTGCAGAGACACAAAAAGACTGTAAAGACTGACCAAAAAAAAATCTAAATTACCATCAAGATTCACAAAATGACTACAGAGATATGCAAGAGTCCCACAAAGAGACAAAATGACCTCAGAAAGACCAAATACAGAGACACAAAAACATGGGGAACCACCACAAAGACACACATT